TTTTTTTTTTTTTTTTTTTTTTCCTCTTCTGTTTGTAATATAGTTTTTATGCTGTTTTGGCACAATAATTAGACTCTTGTATGGTTTTTATTGATATGAGATACATTTTATTTTTCAAAGTCTTTGCTGTATTTCAAGAAAATTGGAATTTCAAGATGAGGCAGGTTTAACAACGCAAGTGAAACAACTGAACATGGGCTGCTGTCTACCGAAAGACCAATAATGTTGAAATATCACTTGTGAGTGTCCCACATTGATTCTATAGGGAAAATGAGTCTAGTATATAAGCCTAGTGGGCTACTCCTCCTATCACCAATTGGTTTTGGGATGGAACATCACTAAGGTGCATCTAGGCTCACCCTCTTATGGTGCGCCTTCATCTGGTGGGATCGCACTCTCTTCCCCCGTTTCTGGCACAGTGTTATGTGGACATGGCCAAGGGCCGACTGGCCCGCCGACCCCGCACGGACTTGGCCCGGACCCAGCATGGATCCGGCCCCGGTCAAACCCGTTGACCAAGGGTCTAACCCAGACCGGATTTCTCAAGGGTCGTGTCAGGGTCATCCATTTTATTTTATATTTTTTTCTATTGTTTTTTGTAAAAAATGACGGATCCGGCCCGGTCCGGACCTGCCCGGTCAACTGGGCTATTGACCCGGCACGTGTATAGGCCCGTGCCGGATCCGGGTCATTATTTTCGAGCGTGGCAACTAGGTGGATCTAGCCGGGTCATGACCCGGTCCGGATTTTGGCCATGTCTACCTTTATGGGCTTGGACGCTTATATTAATCATATCATATACTTTTGTGGGACAAAACAAAATAAAATATATTTTTTTATGGAAATGAAACATATTGAAGCAATTATCGATAAGCAAAACAGTAAATTATGCAACAAAATTGATGGTGTGATAAACGGTTTAAGCAACCGATTGAGTGAGTTGATGACATAGCGAAAGTATACGCAAGAATGATTTGAGAAGTAAGGCATAATACTATTTATAGTAAAATCACCTTTGTAAGTTAAAGTAAATAGCCCGTTTTAATTGAACACTTACTAAACCGAGATATGGTCCAAGGCTGAAACGGACACAACGTGAGAACAAAAAATTGTTCGCGCGGTTATTGTGTGAGTACTATTGTCTTGGTGCACACAAACAGTTGGTAAGTTCAGAACATCGTGTTACTAACCGGCTAGTGTATTCTATAGTATTTCACTTAAGAAGATTCAAAGCCACAAGCTATATATCCTCATGCAATAACAGTTCGCTGCAACTCTGTAGGGTCCATAATTGAAAAGTTTGGTGTAAAATTGGTGGGGGGCCAACATTAACATCAATGCCAATCGACAGTAATATTTGCTTTAGGATAAAGAACTAAAAATTGTCAAAACAGGTTAAATGTTGTTGTCCTTTTGTTTTGTAAGGAATGATGCAAAATGGACAAGAAAAAGAAGGAAACAAAATAATGGTCAGAAAAGACACCAAAAAACACTTTTGGCCACTTGAAGTCATAATTCCGAGCATTTGGAATGCATATTGATTAAGTCATAAAGCTAAAAAATCATGATTAACTGCGTGATGTTTCGACTCCTCCAAGCCAAACAAGCCCATAATATAAATAATCAACACCATTTAATTAAGTTGATTGTGTGAATAATCAATATAATTGATTGAATAGGTCGGTGAGCTTTACCGATGGGTGTGGTAGGGGTCTCACTGATTTTACCTCTCTTTTTCGTTAACTAATACGAATTACAAAGCAGTTCAAGATATGGATGCTTATCCCCAACACTAATCATGTTAATTCTTGACAAAGTTTATACTAACTTGGTCTACGTTTGGCAGTCCTAGTTACAAGTTTTCATATTGAACTGACAATATATAATTTCAGTTTTTAAGATATTAGAATATAACACCACTTGTGAGTTGTCCCGTATCGTTTATATAGAGAAATTAGGCATACTTTATAAGTATAGTGGGTTACTCCTCCTAGTACAATTGATTTTTGGGATGAAACCTCACTATGGTACATCAAGGCTCACATTGTTATGATGCGTGTCACGTGTGGCTGGTCAAAAGCATGCAAAGATGGTGATTCGAGCGCAACAATTAGGGAGCTGTCAAGCTCTTCATGCATCTGTTCCATCTTCCCAGAACGTTACCATTGCTCAGCCTATCACTGCTATTCAACCCACATCTAACTCCGACAAGAGGAAGTGGAACGGCCAAAGCGACCAACAACGGAACAAGCGTGGAGGCGTAGACGGACGTGACCATCAACCTGCCCAGAACGTCCAGCTTGCCCACCAAAAGGCCGAGGGATGACCGCATTGTGGCAACTGCGGTAGAGCTCATAGGAGAGTTTGCTTGGCAGGTCAACAAATCTGCTACTACTACAAGCAGCTTGGACATTTCACCAGGTAGTGCTGGGAGCGCGGACAAATGCAGAACCATCAGCTGCAGCCTCAGCAGGACCAACAGAGGCTTGGAGGAGGGGGTAGGGCACGTGTCTACATGTTGGGTCAGAACGAAGACGAACTGAACCAAGGAGGGGGAAATGGTCGTGCGCAACAGTAGAGTGGTAGCAGTCTTCTTGTTTGATTTTTTAGTAGTTGCAAACTTTTGTTCTTCTTGTTTCTTTGTTTGGAGTTTCGAGTTTGACTATTTGTGTTTGGAACCTTGTATTTATCCTCTTTAATTGCAGAGAGGAAATTTTGGTGCAATCTTGGATGTGTAATAATCTTCCTATTATGATGCGCTTCACGTGCATGAGACCGCGCCCCCCGATTCTTTCATAGAGAAAATTTTGGTGCAACGATTTGCATCTTGTCCCATGAAAAACCTGCAATTTTCCAAACTTTTATGGCTCCCTCACATGTGAAGAAGATATGTTCCAGGCTCTCCTCTTCATCACAACACCAAGGACATATATCATCAGTATCAATGCCCTTCATCTTCAACCTATCCTTTGTACACTCCATAGAAATAACCTCAGCTTATGTTTAACAGGTAAAGCCCAAAGCCTTTTCCACGAGTGTGGATTTCTCTCTGTAAGTGCTTGATTCTTGTACCTCAGTGCCCTTCACTCTCTTATCTAGGATGATCTTGTAAGCTCCTTTGATTGTGAACTTCCCTCTCTTATCTGCATCCCAAACCATTTTGTCTTTTGCTCCCTAGTGACTGATGTGGATCTTCAGTATATTTTCTGCATCAACAGGTGTAAAGATTTGTCTGACCAACTCTTCATTCCACTCCTTGCCCTCTAGTAACATCAAGTCAGACACCTTGCTAGAACTTGTTTTGTTACTTTGCCAGTGGAATCAGCTGTATCAATTTTCAAAATAACCCGTTTTAAAACTGATATGCAAACTTTAAAGGATATTTTGATGTCTTAAATTTTATCTCACAAATAATTGTTGGAACTTATACATTCCAAAGAACAGTTACCATTCAGTACTACAACCCAACCCAATAATAAAAAATTATTTCTCTCTCCTCCACCTACACAACCCAACATAATAACAACCTACATATCGTTATCCCCAACCCAACCCAACATAATATTTATTTTATTTTTATTTATTTATTTATTAAATATTATTTACAATACATATTTTGGTATTGTTTTATCTACAACCCAACACAATATAATAAATTTAATTGTGTTCTAAAATATATAAAGAGTGATCTCTATTTATAAAGAATGGAAAAAAACAAATTTTGAAATCTTTTATTTTATATTAAAATATAAAATAATATGAAATATTTGAGTTATACTAATTATATCATATAAAATTTATAGTGACCGGAATTGGAAGTGTCCCAATTCTCTCTCCCTTTATCCAAAAAACATGAAAAAAAATGAAAAAGAGTATGCATCGACCGAGTTGTGACCCAAGTTCACATTGTGACCTGGCTTGCCCAAATTTGCGCCATTTTCTTTTTCTTTTTCTTTCATTTTTTTTTTTGTCTTTTTCCTGGTGACCCAACCTATTGGGTCACCAATAAAGATGGTTGCATGTTGATTCTTCTTATATGTTGTGGTACTGTTGATGTA